ATACGTGAAGGGAAAGAAATTGAAATGGCAGCAGCGAATAGAGAGTTAAAGATGCTACTGCAGCAAAAACATAGACTCAAACTAAACGCTGCCGGCGTCTTAACTTGGAAAGACAGTGATGGTAGCTGGGTTACAGTGATACCAAAAAGCCTTCGTCGTGGGGTCATTCAAGAATGCCACCAACTAGCTCATACAGGAGTTGCACAAACATACGACCTAGTGAGCCAAAGTGCATACTGGCCAAACATGAGAGGCGATATTGCAAACTACGTACTCGCTTGCCCACAGTGTCAATTGATGAAGGGTGATCGGTGCATTCGACCACAGCTACAAACGATACCCGTAACGGCGGTTGGTGACTTATGGTCCGTGGACATAATGGATCCTTTCCCTCAAACAGCAAGTGGAAATCAATACATTTTAATGATGACAGAACACGCCACGCGGTGGGTAAATGTTGTAGCGATTCCAGATCAGCGCGCCAAGACCGTAACCGAGGCAGTCATTCGACATATTGTGGCGGATCATGGTGTACCAAAAATGATATTGACAGATCAAGGCCCCTGTTTTGAAAGTGAGGAGTTCAAGACTCGTCTGGAGGCACTGGGTATTAAGAGGATTAGAGCGACTCCGTATCATCCGCAGACAAACGGCTTAACCGAAAGGAACAATCGTACACTCAAGGAATGGCTAGCTGCGAAAAAAGGCAACTGGGAAACTGACTTACCGTTGGTATTACTAGCACATCGTGCCACAGTACAAGGGACAACAAAAAAGTCGCCTTTCCAGCTGATGTATGGGAGGAAACCACGCTTACCGGTGCACCATAAGACTTGGCCAACACAACAAAAATGGAACAGTAAGAGATGGACAAGTGAGCGGAAACAAGCTATTCAGAATATACAAGAGAAGCGCAAGATAGACATCGAAAATTATGGCAAGAAACAAATCAAAGCTTGGAAGCTGTTTGAAGTAGGTGACCAGGTGAAATGTAGAGAACGAAAGTATACTACCGGAAGCGGACCAGGATCAGGAAAGCTTCTGCCGAAGTGGGAGGGACCATATGTGGTCACATCGAGACGCGGTCCAGTGTACGCAATAAAGAGAGGAGATAGAGAGAAAAGAGTAAATGCCAGTCTGCTACAAAGATGGAGAGAAGAATGTCAAGACAAGGTACCAGAAGAGCAGCAGGATGAAACGTCTGTGCGGCGATCAAGGCGGTTACAGGAGAGACTTTATAATGAGGGGGCGAGTGTGGTGTGTGCTACTTATAATCCGATATAAGTAGCATATCAGGAACGAAGTAACAATATGTTTGGCACACTGGAAAGAGCAATCAAAGAAGAGAACCATGAGAAGAATGTTGCCGTATGATGCAGAATCCAAGAAGCTACCGTAAACATTGACGTAAATTACTGTCTACTGATTTGGCTAGTAGACAGCTCTCACCACAATAGTACTAGTAGTGTGGTGAGAGCTGTCTACTAGCCAAATCAGTAGACAGTAATTTACGTCAATGTTTACGTTCCCAAGATTTGTCGTGAGAAAATGTGAACAAAGATTGATTCAATACCGACCACAGCAGACTTTGCGTAGGCGGATGCAGTTAACATATAGATGATTTGACATTCAAGAAACAGTCACAAAGAGATGAAAGATTAATTTTAAGTGAGAAACAACCAATCGGAAGACTGTGTTTGTTCGCTTAACTATCCATAATAATGTACATGAAAATATATAAATATGCGTTGATTTCCTTAATAAATGATCTGTTGCCTGACTCTTGCCTTCTGTCGTTACAATTGGTGTCGCTGCCTCCGAACAATGAAGATCCCATGGCCAACTGCTTTTGAAGAAGGAGACATACGGAGCTTCTTACGTGACTTCGAGGCCGTCGCTGAGTTGGTGGGTGTCAAAGAGCAGGCGGCGAAGGCGGTTGTACTGGGGACGCTGTTGAGAGGCCGAGCGAAGGCGGCATATGACAGCGTAGAGAGGTCAGATGGCACAGCGTCTTGGAAGACATTGGTTGAACGATTGGTGTCGGAGTTCGACAGTTCAACAGACAGACAGCTGGCAATGCAGCAGTTCCGTTCAACGAAGCTCGGACCTGATGGAGATCCGTTAGTGTTGGCGGTGAAATTGACCAATCTACTTCGACGTGCGCTTCCCACTTTGGATGAAGATTCAGAGGCGCAGTTGCTGAGTTCCCAGTTCATCGAGAGTGTCCCAGACCACATTTCTCAGCAATTACAACTGGTTAACGCTACGCAGCCGATGGATATTAATGAGCTGGCGAAGGTGACCAGACAGCTGCTGAGCACAACTGTAGCTGCCATAGAGCAACCAAAACCAAACGAATTCGAGCAGAAAATTGAAGCGTTGCAGCGGGAAGTGGTGGCGTTAAAGTTGGGTGACAGGAAAGACCGGTGTTTTGAATGCGGTAAGCCGGGACACTGGAGGAGATACTGTCCAGAAAGGGGAAAAAGAAAAAGTTTCAGACGGTATAATACGTGTTCTTTCTCTCGTATAAAACTAGATGTAGTGGGGGCTATCGAGAAAGGGGCTGTGTATTCGAAGTTGCGAGTGAATGATCAAGAAGTAGTATGTTTAGTAGATACGGGGGCGGCTGTGTCTCTAATAGATAAGAACTTATGTGCGATTGTTAGTCCATGCTCATAGACAGTACAAACGGTAGGTGGGCACGTATTGCGTATCACGGGTAGATCGAACTGCACGGTCGTGGTTGGCAGCTGGGAGGTGACGATCCCCTTCATTGTTGTGCCCGAATTACGACGGACGATACTTGGCGCGGATTTTCTGCGGGAGATTGGTGCGATAATCGACACGCAAGCGAAGGTTGTGATCACGAAATACGGACGTATCAGCATGTATGAGACCAGTGAGATAGCAGCGGTTAACCTGTCGAAGGTACACAATATGAAGTCAATTAATAAATACGATCATCTGTTTACTGGAGATGGGGACCCATACGGTTATTGCGATAAGGTGAATCATGAAATTCCGTTAAGTGGCCCGAAAGTAACGTCATTTACCACGCGAAGAGTTCCATGTCATTTAGAAGGCGAAGTTGAGCGACAGGTGCGAGAGATGTTAAAAGATGATATTATTGAAGAAGCTGATAGCCCGTACAACTCTCCAGTGCTGTTAGTAAAACAGGCGAATGGGAAGTATAGATTCTGCGTTGATTTTCGACAGTTAAACAGTATGACAGAATTAAGACCGTGTGCCATGCCAACAGTAGTAGAAACTTTAGATCGCCTACAAGGCGCAAATTTGTTTTCAGTTCTCGATCTTCGCTCAGGATACTGGCAGATACCGATAAAGCCAGGTGATAGAGATAAGACAGCATTCATCGTGGGTCAGACACAATATTGATTTAAACGCATGCCGTTTGGACTAGCAGGTGCACCGTTCACGTTCAGACGATTGATGACGCTATTACTTAAGAACTTGAAAAACGTTGAGGTGTACGGTGATGATCTCGTCATATGTAGTCAAAACGAAAACGATCACGTGAACCATGTGGAAGCCGTGCTGCGACGCATCGAAGAGTTTGGACTGCGCGTCAACAAAACCAAGTCTCAGATAGCCAAAAAGAATGTAACTCTTTTGGGATATAAAGTGGGAAATGTTGAGATTAAACCACTACCGGAGAAAATCTTGACGATAAAGACGATCCCGGCCCCGAATTCAAAGAGAAAATTGAGACAATTCTTAGGTAGAGCAGCGTTTTATAGTCACTTCGTGAAGAACTTCAATGAGAGAGCAGCCCCTCTGTACAGGCTACTAGGTGAACCGAAGTTTGTTTGGTCGGAGGAATCGCAGAAGACATTCAACAGGATTAAACAGCTGCTCGACCACCAACAAATGACACTAAAACTACCTGTACCTGGAAGACAGTTCACAGTGTGCACAGATGCCAGTGACTACGCCATAGGTGCGGTCCTAAGACAGGGTGAGGGAATCGTTGAGTATGCCAGTAGGGTTTTGACACACACAGAGCGAAAGCATTCAACGATAGAGAAAGAATGTTTAGCGATGGTATGGGCAATCGACAAATGGAGACCTTATTTACTCGGCCGGCGGTTCCACATCGAAACGGATCATAAGCCGCTACAGTTTCTGAAGACAGCGAGAGACCCACGAGGGAAATTGTCACGGTGGATGTTGCGTCTTCAGGAGTACGATTTTACCATCTCACACGTTCCTGGAAATGAAAATGTCTTGGCAGATTTGTTATCCAGACCAGAAGACGAGGCTGAGTTGCCCGAGGTCGCTTACGGAGTGCATGCAGTAGAACAAGACCCACTAAGACTGGCACGCAGACAAAGGTTGGACGATACGCTGAATACAGTAATACAGGTGATCACTAACGGAATAGAAGTGGATCCAGCTACAGCGAGTAAGGAGCTAACCACACTACTCAGACAGAGAGATCGACTAAGAGTGAATGTCTACGGGACTCTGACCTGGCGAGAGGACGACGGAAGCTGGCTAGCTGTCATACCTCAATCGTCGCGCCACGACATGATAGAAGAATGCCACCAGCTAGCACATACCGGAGTGGCCAGAACAACCGACCTCTTGAGACAAAGTATGTACTGGCCAGGTATGAGAGAAGACGTAGCAAGATATGTACTTGGATGTCCACGGTGCCAGCTAATGAAAGGCGACCGGTGCATACGACCACTACTTCAGTCGATTCCAGTTACGGCGATAGATGACTTGTGGTCCGTAGATGTTATGGGTCCATTTCCTCAGACATCCAATGGTAATCAGTACCTCTTGGTGATGACGGAACACGCGACACGATGGGTAGACGCCGTAGCAATCCCAGACCAACGCGCAAGGACCGTGACAGATGCAGTAGTTAGACACATCGTTGCAGACCATGGCGTACCAAAGACAATACTGACAGACCAAGGTCCGTGTTTCGAAAGTGAAGAATTTACTTCCCGTTTGCAACAGCTTGGCATCAAGAGGATCCGAACGACCCCATACCATCCACAAACGAATGGACTGACGGAGAGAAACAACCGTACGCTGAAGGAGTGGCTCGCCTCGAAGGGCGGTAACTGGGAAACGGAGCTGCCACTGATTCTACTAACACATCGTGCCACCACCCAGGAAACAACGAAAAAGTCACCCTTTCAACTGATGTATGGTAGAAAACCACGATTACCAATACACAACGAAACCTGGCCCCTTCACCAAAAGTGGAGTACGACGAAATTAAAAGCAGAACGGAAAGAAGCCGTCAAGAATGTAATGCAGAAGCAGCGGAGGGATGTCGCGAAGTCTCAGCTGAGAGAAAAGACTCAGTGCATTACATTCTCAGTCGGGGACCAAGTGAAGTGTAGAGACAGAAGATATGCTGTCGGATGCGGGCCAGGTTCACGCAAACTCCTTCCAAAGTGGGAAGGACCATACACAGTCACAAAAAGACGGGGTCAAGTATATACCATTAGAAGGGGTGACAAACAAAAACGAGTTAACGCCAGTCAGATCCAACGATGGGTGCATTGGGACAAGCCGGTCTGTAACAATCATCAACTAGAGGATGCATCACCCAGAAGGTCGGGACGCCTTCGCGCGAAGCTATTTGACGGGGGGACGAGTGTGGTGAGAGCTGTCTACTAGTAGACAGTAATTTACGTCAATGTTTACGTTCCCAAGATTTGTCGTGAGAAAATGTGAACAAAGATTGATTCAATACCGACCACAGCAGACTTTGCGTAGGCGGATGCAGTTAACATATAGATGATTTGACATTCAAGAAACAGTCACAAAGAGATGAAAGATTAATTTTAAGTGAGAAACAACCAATCGGAAAACTGTGTTTGTTCGCTTAACTATCCATAATAATGTACATGAAAATATATAAATATGCGTTGATTTCCTTAATAAATGATCTATTGCCTGACTCTTGCCTTCTGTCGTTACAGTAGTAGTAGTAGTAGTAGTAGTAGTCATGTAGCCTTCACAGGAAAGTTTGGCCTATTACCAGCTGCATGTAGATGCAAGCAGTGTTTGAGTAGCTTGCTTTTTTCTTGAGTATGGTGTACTATAATTTTACTCATGATATACAGATTATACTTTATCATACGATCTTATTTCTTTTTTTAATATTTCCCGTAATGCCACACCGAAATACTAGTCAGCCTAAGCATTAACTCAAATGAAACAATTTTTATCATTGTAGTTACTATAGATTAATTATAATGGTCAATTAGAGATCACTTGTACGTCTTTTTGTTTCAGAATTTTAAGACTATTAGTCACTTCAAGCTATGGAATTATTCAAATGCTGGATTATTCTATTCAAAGTTGAATCATAGCAATTATAATAATAGGTGTAATTTATTATTAAATTTTGGCGTAGTTCATCACTAGAAAGTAAAGTCTTGCAAACTATATCATTGCGATACTTTAGACTAATCTGATTTTCACGGGCAACCTAACGTGAAGCTGTAACAGTATTGAGATGTAGCAACAGCTGAAATCTATAATATATATTGAATTATCTTTTTAATGAGAGGGAAGACTAGAAAGGTTTTCAATACAAATAATATACTCTCCTTTCCTTCACGGGTTACTGATATTTCACGTAAAATGTGTCTTAACTAACAAAGGTAAACCCAAGTGAGTAATCTCCGGAAAAAGGCAGTCTACAGGCAGGCTAAAACAACTGGCTTTTGACTTTTGAGATATTTTATTACTGTAATAGCCTGAAAGTATCGTTTTTTGGATTTCTTTATTTTTAAGGTAGTTTCAAGAATTATTTTTGCATGTTTTATGCATAACGGGTATTTGATAGAAGGTGTGGAACAATGTTTGATGTTCTCTTGAAGCTTGTCATTTCCTTTTATGAAGTAGTTTCTATGTAGTAGTTTACATTTGTTTGGAAACATTTTATTTTTGAAGTATTATACAATTCATAGGAATTGATTACTGAAATATAAAACGCAATAAGAAAAGCTTACTTCTTTCGAAACTGTGCTGTCTGAACTTGTGGAAGTTATTTGACGTTGTGCGCATACAAACTCATTTATTCTTTGCATTCGACGTAGATCTAGTCGAAATAGAAGACGACATCAATGTGTAATAGTAGGTGTATATTTAAATTTAATAAATGGAACGTTATCGAAAAATCAATTGAAATGATAGTCCACAAAAATATGTCAGCAACGAAAATGATAAGATCAAGAAGCATAACATTCAGGGAAATAACTCGCTTTAGCTGCTCATTAATTACCTACCCACGGCATGCGCAAGATTCTCTATCGATTTTCCTGCTAAACTATCTACCTTGGGGAGATGTGGCTAAAATGTATGGATGTCAATCCAATATTTATTAGCTAGATTGACTGAGACATGCGCCGCAGCGTATTACTCACATATTGCACCAAGTAAATAGTTTGAATTGTTTTTTTGTTCAAGTTTTTGAGAGAGAAAGTAACTCTTTTTTGATATTTACAGAGAAGCCACTTACAAGGTGGTGCCAAACATTAAAAAGGTACATAAAATGCAAAGTGAACTAAAAAATTTGACATTTTTATCAAAAAACACGTTAATGGTGTATGACAAGATAAGGAAAACTAAAATAAAGGCTAATCCAGGTTGTTCACAAGAATGAAAATGACAAGAGATTTTGTTATATCATTCTAGATACTTCGTTTCCTTCTAAAAACAGAATCTTCTTATTTTATTCCTTTCAAAGTGTAATAAAAACTGTTTCATTTTTTCCAAGATTTCACATCCCACAATGTGATTTCCAGTTGTTATTGTTGTTCTTCAAACCCAAATGAGAAAATTAAAAGTCTTCGCAGCTTAGTGATTCAACTATTTCTTCTTTCAAATGTCATAACCTATTTACGTTTATTCCGAATTAATTTAAACACATAAAAATGGTTTACGTCCAAAAAAAATGAAAAGGTGTATCTGTGATCACAATGCAAATAAAGTTTAACAAATACCGAAATATTTTTGAGGAATCATTTTAAAAGAATTTATAACAAGCTGTCAAACTACCAATATTAGTAAAATTAACGAAAAAAGGAAAAATGAACTTCGGACAATGCAACAAAAGTTGCTCTTTTGAAAAGTGGAAATTCACTTATTTGTCATACACAATTTAGTAACACAAAAACAGGATATGTCGACTATAATACATAGCGAGTACATATATCTTGAAATGAATGATAAATACAGTGCAGAAAATCCTTTTTCTCCTTCATTAAGATATTGAAAGCATTTATTGTCAGGTAGATTTCGTCTTGAACAGGAAACGGTAACAGATCCACTGAAAACTAGACAGTACCGGATACTACTTTCAAATTATTTAGAACCATTCAGTATCAAACATGCACAATCCTACTGTAGATTTATCTATGGGCAGTTGTACTTCAAAGGTGAGGGCGTTTCCACCCACCAATTCAGAATTCATTGGTAAAATTTCTAACAACTCATGAAAATGTGCCAACAGCATCGAATATTATCAGTAAATAATCGTTCTCC